TAACAATAATAATAATAATCTTTATAAATAAACTTTATAAATAAAGTTATGTACCAAATTTCCTACATATCCCACTTAATCTTAAACCAGTAATTCATATATACCCACATAAGCTCCTTTTCCACCAACATTTCCAGGAACTTTTATTTCCAGGAATTTATTTACCTGGGTAAAAGAACTCCTGGTAATCTGTGTGGTTTGCATTTCCACCGCACCTCAAAGTTACAGGCTGGCAAATCAGGCAAATCAGGCTGATGACGTATGGGGGAGTGGTAAAAGATGTAAAAAAAACAAATTTGTTTCGGTGCATGCCATATATTTAGCGCTGCCAGCTTGTCGGCAATTTTTCTACAGACTCTGTCGTTTCGAGTCACCGACTCGAAGTCCCGCTGAATTTCTTCCACTGCAAATACGATCAAAGGAGCCTGAACCGCATTGTCCATCCACTTCTTGTAGCTTCTCTTCTTTTGCTCCATTTTCCAAATGATCAAAACACAAACGAAGTGAAGCTTGAAGAAATAAAGTTTGCAGCCAATGTGGGAATCTGAAAAGTCCTACCCCCCTACTAGGTTCTTTTTTCAGGGAAAGTTTGGGGTTGAGGGAAAGTGGAAACTTGCCAAGATTTTTCAAAATCCCGGGTAAAAACTGATAAAAGTTTCTGTGGTGGAAACAGGGCGGTCCCTGTAAGGAGGGGATGGATCATAAAAAGCATGACTTTCCCCAAGGACTTTCCCCAGGAGACAGGCATTTGGAACCATGTGAACTTTGGGTGAGCTTTAAGACATTTTAAGGTACCTCATCACAATGTTGCTTTTCCTACACCTAACCACATTAACTTTCCGTGAAGTACGTAACTTCATGTTAACTACGTAAGGTCACTTGTGGGGCGCAAAGTTTAGGATATCATATAAATTGTTGTATGAGGATACGTCGATATGATACGTATGACAATGTACAAATGTAACGTATTCATGTTTTGAATGTATGAAATGTGCAATGCTAGCATTTTCTTCTGCAAACTATGCTGACACTAATGCAGGGGTCAGCAACGTTTACTATCAATAGAGCCATTTTTGACCAAAAGTTACTTTAAAAATCTGCCTGGACTCACAAAAAATATTTTACACAGCCTATCAAGACTAAATAGCCTATGAACATTAATAACAGGTCCAATAAATATGTTTTACCACAAGGTTACTACTCTGCAGTGTGCTATTTACGATTATTTGGTGCCTTAATTTTGCAGCGTTGGCAGTAGAAGCATACAAATCTGTCCTCACTAGGTATAATAATGATTAACTGACGATCAAGCAATCAGTCGTTAAGAATGCAATATAACTATTTTATGACAAAGTGGCCATCTTGGAATCTGGAAGAAGAGCACAGCAGTGACACTGGAAAATTAAGCAGTCAAAGTGAAGCATTATTCAGAAATATACAATGTGTTTCGTATGTTTAGGCCTTTACATCTTTAGATGTTTCATAGGCTATGGAATGGTGTCAGAGAATACACATTATGTTAATGTCAACATTTGTTTAAATTTTTTTTATTTGTTATTTTTTAGTATAGCAAAGTTTTTATGTTTTTTTTAAAGCACAATCGATTGATTAAATTTGCTATTTTACTCGGAGACTATACTCAAGACTGGCCGTTGCTATTGAGGTTTGGCAAAATTTAGAGGAAAAGGTGTCAGTAGATGTATGACACACATTTTAGTTAACAAAATGATAACTTTTTTTCCTCCCTGTGCATAGGCCACACAATTTTATAATTGGAGAATGTAAGAATGTCTTAAGGTCCATAAAAATAATAAATAAAAAATGAAAATGTTAAAATTTCAACAAACTGACAAAACCTCAGGACAACATCACTGCCAATTTTACTATCGACAAATGCAATAATTTTCTGTCCTTCTTTCACTCAAAAATCAAAACAATACACCAACAACTTGTCTCCTCTTCGCCTGCTCACTCCTCTCCTGAACCAGATCTTAAACCACTACCCAGTTATAGTTTCTCATCGTTCTCTCCCCTATCTCCACCTGAGGTCTCCAAACTCATCTCCACCATGAAACTCACCACCTGCCGTCTTGACCCCATCCCATCCCCCCCTCATCAAGGCCTGTCTTCCCTCTCTCATCTCATTCATTACTAGGGCTGACCTTCGAATCCATTTTTGGACATTCGAAGGTCAGAAGCTCAGAATGAAGTGCGCTCAACTATGGAAGCCCGAATGACTGCGGACATTCCTCGCAGAGTCCGCTCTGCTTATAGTGCGCCCAAGTCTGTGAGCCCCTTAAATTAAAATCCTCGGTGCACACTGCAGCACAATCAAACAGATGCGCAACTCAGAGCATCAAAAGTGTCTCTGACACCAGACTCAGAGCGGGGTGTTGCGTTTAAGGCCTCCCCCAAAAAACGAAAAAAAAGCGCCTAAGCTTCGAATCTTTTTTTTTCCGCAATCGAATCATGTGCCATCGAACGAAGCTTCGAATTTTTTGGGTCAGCCCTATTCATTACCAACATCATTAACTTTTCCCTCACCACCGGCTCTGTCCCACCCTCACTCAAGCTTGCTACTATCACTCCCGTCCTGAAAAAACCTGGCCTGACCCCAGACAACCTGGACAACGTCAGACCCATCTCCAATTTCCCACTGCTCTCCAGAATACTGGAACGCTCCGTCTATACCCAACTACACCATTATCTTCACTCCTGCCAGTTCTTCAAAACATTCCAATCCGATTTCCGCTCTCACCACAGCACTGAAACAGCCTTATTGAAAGTCACCAATGACCACCTCTTTGCCTCGGACTCTGGTTCCCTCACCGTCCTCCTCCTCCTCGACCTCAGCGCCGCTTTCAATACCATTGATCATTCCATCCTAATCAACCGTCTACAGTCATCTCTTGGTATCACTGACTCGGCACTCACCTGGTTCACCTCCTACCTTTCCGATTGTCAACACTACATATCCGTCAGCAACTGCAAGTCCCACATCACCCTAGTCACCCACGGTGTCCCTCAAGGCTCGGTACTTGGCTCCCTCCTCTTCATCCTCTACATGTTACTCCTTGGAAATATACGCCGCCACGGACTACATTTCCACTGTTAAGCCGACGACACCCAGCTACACATCTCCTCCAAATCCATCACTCCAGTCATTCTTTCCACTATCACAAACTGCCTGACTGACATCAAATCCTGGATGGACAACACCTTCCTGAAACTAAACAGCAATAAAACAGAACTCATCATCACTGGACCCAAAGCTCACCTTCCCTCTCCTCAGGACTTCTCCCTCCACATCGACAGTCACAATGTCACTTCCTCCCCCAGTATAAAACCTCCATATCATAACTGACCCCACTCTCTCCTTCAAACCCCATATCAGCAACATCACGAGGACATCATTCTTCCATCTCCACAACATTGCCCGTCTCCGCACCTCCCTCACCCACTCCACTGCAGAAATACTCATCCACGCCTTCAGAGTCCAGACTCGACTACTGTAATGGCATTCTCTATGGTCTTCCCTCTCCCAGCCTTCAAAAACTGCAACACATACAAAACTCCGCTGCCCAGTTACTCACCTGCAGGGCCTACATCACCCCTGTCCTCAAACAGCTTCATTGGCTCCCTGTCCAATACCGCATCCAGTACAAACTCCTCCTCATCACCTACAAAGCAGTGCCGTAGAATATAACAGAGTCGCAACAACGGAAGTCCAAAATGTTTGTGCGTCACGTGACTCATGCAGACCTCGGATAGTTCCCGGAAGTTACTAGTGGGCCATTTAAATACATAATACTGAGAGACAGATTTTTGGTAAGTAGCTGTCAATAACTACATTGATTTAGGATAAGTGTTAGTTTACTACAGTTAGGTAAGACTCTATTAATCCCAACCTTGGAAATTCACGTTACAGCAGATCAGAGCTCAGAGCAGAGGCAATAGAAAAAGGATAAAATATTTTTTAAATACAAATTAGACATAATGAAAATAATAGAAAATCTATATACACCTTTCACTGAAACAGATACTGTACGCTCATGATTAATAGCTGTACAGGATGAGTGTAATACACATGATGTGTTGTATTCTTACTGTAAAAATATAGTAATGTATAGATATCCCACAGGAAGTGGCAAAATATTGCACACAGGAATATTACACAGTATGTACACAGTGCACAGTTTAAATATAAGGGTTGTGGATAAGGATATGTATTTATATATGTATACAGGCCAGTGTAAGTATATTAATGACATAGCATAATTATATGATAGAAATGTATTATTACACAGTATAACTATGTGTAATGTGTATATAACATATATTGTTGTCTGCCTTGTTTAAATATGTTAGTCTTTCCTTACCTTGGTGAAACAGCATGTTGCTTTTATTGCTTTAAATTATGTTTTCAATTCTGTCCTTAGTCTTGTATGGTCTTGTATGGTTGTCAAGAGTAATCACATCCTAACATTTATTGATAATGTAATGGTTGTAATGATTTATAACGAACGTTATCTTAATTACTTTCAGTGGAACAGAAGGAGACCGACGACAGGTGACTACCAATGACTGTCAAGTGACAGCACAATGGGTCACTGGGCTAGCAGCAGCAGCAGCAGCAGCAGTTTATAGACATATATATTTTATGTATCTTTGTCTTTTTACTATGTACCAATACTATAACAAATTCATTTTTAATAAACTCAGAAACGTGACTTGGATGTCAAGCAGTTTGTCTGAGCCCTTCCTTCTGTGTTGTCCTCTCGTACAGTCTCCACCATGGCGCTGTGTGGGGATGTTCCAATCGTTTAGAGAGAGAGGTACACATGCACAATTTCTTCATTGACACAGAGATGAGAAATTTTTTTTTGGCTTTAGTCAGCAGGAGTAACCTGAGACTCAATACAGACTACAACAACAAAAATATGTGAGTTATCATTCTCAAATACTGCATTAGTGCATTTCCACAAACAAATACCACACTATTGGGAATCTCAGTGTTTGGTTTATTAAAAATAAGGAACAGGGAAAGGCTTGCAAAACCCACGGAGCTGAGACTCAGGGTAAGGGGGTTGTTCATTGCGGGGTGAGTTCAGGCTCCATTGCATCCCCCTGTTGTTCTTGTGCTGAAAGAAAAAAAAAAGAAAGAGGAGAAATGGTTAGGCACACGTATATATGCCTGGGTCTGACGTTGCCTTGTGAGATAAGGCACAAGTTTGACAAGTGGCATCAGTTTTAATTGCATTTGTTTGAAGTTGTTTCATGGATATGTAATGAGTGTATACATGTTCAGTAAGTATAAAGTGTTCCCGAATACTGTATGCATTCAACCACTATGGGATATGTCTGTGGGTAGACAAAAGTGAGTTTTGTGTTGGAAGTCATTGCAGGCACATTTTGGTGCAGACCAGTTTGCCAAGACCAAAAAGGGCAAGACAAGGCTTAGAGCAGATTTAATTCCTGCCATCTTTGTGCATCATGCTGTGAGCGCCCCTGCACCACAATGTACCCCTGGACCTGTAACATCATTGTTATTGCCACTCCTGAACTGTAACATTAATGGTCCTCATCCTGCAGCACTCCTGACATGAGGCATGCAGCATCACTGCAGTATAATTCCTTAAAATGTTTATTTATATTTCAGTGTTGGGTGCTGTTGTAACTGATCAGCACACTGGAAACCAGCAGGTGGGTCTACCAGCTCTGGTGTATTAATTTGCACTTGTCATAGTGACTGACTGGCAAGCCAATTTGCTTTTATTGTGCTAACCTCAGCCTCTGCCTACTGTGTTTCATATGACAGGCCCTCAAATATTCATCCCTATCTCATAAGTTATCAGACTTTGATCCTGTGTCTGGTCGTCCCTGTGTCCACAGTTATCTCTTTATTTGAAAAGGTCTAGGCTATTTAATTGTTTAATATCATCACACTGTTATATAAGCAGGGGATTTTAATACAAAGTTGAAACCACTGTATGTGAATGCGTGAATCGGTCAGATCTGCACTCCAGAGGAGAGCCTTCATTAGACTATGCAATATCGCCCACTACTGGATTTGTAAGTTAATGAACTGTAATTAAAGCTCTCTTTGCTTTAATTAGCCTCTATGAAACAACATGACCCTCTTCTATTTTATAATGCCTACTAATATTATAATATTATAATGACAGTAACTGGTAATATGCAATGTATTACATTTTCAAAGTAACTTGACCAACACTGTATATCATATATTATATACAGTACAGGCCAAAAGTTTGGACACACCTTCTCATTCAATGCATTTTCTTTATTTTCATGACTATTTACATTGTAGATTCTCACTGAAGGCATCAAAACTATGAATGAACACAAGTGGAGTTATGTACTTAACAAAGAAAAGGTGAAATAACTGAAAACATGTTTTATATTCTAGTTTCTTCAAAATAGCCACCCTTTGCTCTGATTACTGCTTTGCACACTCTTGGCATTCTCTCCATGAGCTTCAAGAGGTAGTCACCTGAAATGGTTTCCACTTCACAGGTGTGCCTTATCAGGGTTAATTAGTGGAATTTCTTGCTTTATCAATGGGGTTGGGACCATCAGTTGTGTTGTGCAGAAGTCAGGTTAATACACAGCCGACAGCCCTATTGGACAACTGTTAAAATTCATATTATGGCAAGAACCAATCAGCTAACTAAAGAAAAACGAGTGGCCATCATTACTTTAAGAAATGAAGGTCAGTCAGTCCGGAAAATTGCAAAAACTTTAAATGTGTCCCCAAGTGGAGTCGCAAAAACCATCAAGCGCTACAACGAAACTGGCACACATGAGGACCGACCCAGGAAAGGAAGACCAAGAGTCACCTCTGCTTCTGAGGATAAGTTCATCCGAGTCACCAGCCTCAGAAATCGCAAGTTAACAGCAGCTCAGATCAGAGACCAGATGAATGCCACACAGAGTTCTAGCAGCAGACCCATCTCTAGAACAACTGTTAAGAGGAGACTGCGCCAATCAGGCCTTCATGGTCAAATAGCTGCTAGGAAACCACTGCTAAGGAGAGGCAACAAGCAGAAGAGATTTGTTTGGGCCAAGAAACACAAGGAATGGACATTAGACCAGTGGAAATCTGTGCTTTGGTCTGATGAGTCCAAATTTGAGATCTTTGGTTCCAACCGCCGTGTCTTTGTGAGACGCAGAAAAGGTGAACGGATGGATTCCACATGCCTGGTTCCCACTGTGAAGCATGGAGGAGGAGGTGTGATGGTGTGGGGGTGTTTTGCTGGTGACACTGTTGGGGATTTATTCAAAATTGAAGGCACACTGAACCAGCATGGCTACCACAGCATCCTGCAGCGACATGCCATCCCATCCGGTTTGCGTTTAGTTGGACGATCATTTATTTTTCAACAGGACAATGACCCCAAACACACCTCCAGGCTGTGTAAGGGCTATTTGACCAAGAAGGAGAGTGATGGAGTGCTGCGGCAGATGACCTGGCCTCCACAGTCACCGGACCTGAACCCAATCGAGATGGTTTGGGGTGAGCTGGACCGCAGAGTGAAGGCAAAGGGGCCAACAAGTGCTAAACACCTCTGGGAACTCCTTCAAGACTGTTGGAAAACCATTTCAGGTGACTACCTCTTGAAGCTCATGGAGAGAATGCCAAGAGTGTGCAAAGCAGTAATCAGAGCAAAGGGTGGCTATTTTGAAGAAACTAGAATATAAAACATGTTTTCAGTTATTTCACCTTTTTTTGTTAAGTACATAACTCCACATGTGTTCATTCATAGTTTTGATGCCTTCAGTGAGAATCTACAATGTAAATAGTCATGAAAATAAAGAAAATGCATTGAATGAGAAGGTGTGTCCAAACTTTTGGCCTGTACTGTATTCAATATAATTACATATATAATTAATAAAAAATGCAGTATAATACATATTAAGTATGATTCCTTATCTCTGGAACTACTTGAAACACACCTTGTTAAGTTTTAAGTCTCACCAAGGTCGACTCAGCACTTATCTGCAGCGTCCTCTCTCACACAGTGGTCCTGCAGCATCACTGCTCCTCCACCACCCAGTGCTCCTACAGCAGGTTACAAATATACAAGATTACATATCTAATACTGTGATAGAATATATGTTTAGCATGATCATATGTATAACACACATACCTACATTTTGGTATTTAGAATAATTCCCCATTTAGCCTGGTATGTTTCATTTATCAAAATAACTTATCTTGTGTTTTAAATCTCATTCCGGTCCTCAAACTTCCCTCTCACTTTGCTATCAATGTAATATCAGCTGAGCTGTAAAAATCAGGACTGGAAGCACTCTTACTTCCCAATGTTAGATAAAATGGTTTAGGAGAAGACAATTTAAAACTAACAGACTGTTCATGGTTAGCATTACCTGTATGGTGTGTACAGTATGTACAGTGTCCTAGCCTAATCTGTTATCTTATCTTTTAACATTACATAAATCTACTAATTTATGGGAGATAATCCACTGACAAGCTTTAATGCACATGTTAATTTAGATAAGTTGTGCTGATAATGTAAAATTTGAGTCTTCGGACATCTTACCCATTAAAAGTACATCAAAGCCGGTCTTTTCTGCTGTAACTCCATTGTGCTGCTAGCATGTGCCACTTACTTCCGGGAACTATTGAGAGGCTCCGCGAACCTCCATTGCTGTGAAAAAAATGGCCCATTAGAGTGAACGGAGATGACGCGACTCTCTATTCAAGGGCTCTGCTACAAAGCCCTCAATAACCTTGCCCCCTCTTATCTCACTGACCTCCCTGCCATTCCCCCACCCACCGACTTCGCTCTACTGACTCTAACCTCCTGGCCCCCATCACTAGAACCAAGCACTGAACCTTGGCGGACCAAGCCTTCGCCACCGCTGCACCTACCCTCTGGAACTCCCTCCCATGCAACACCAGAAATGCAGACTCCCTACCAGGACCGTGCCGCCTATAGGGCAGGTTAGGCAAATGCTATAGGCGCCAGCATGCCAGAGGGCGCCAGGGAGTGAGGTGGTTTTTTTTTTTCTTCCCCATTCTATTCGAAAAATTAGACAAGAATACACTACAAAACAACAACAGTACATATAACCATACGTCTTTAAATAATAATGAAATAATATTTCTAATTTAAATTTCTGCCTGCTTGACATCCTTCTGCCTCTCTGGCAGGCAGCATCAATTTCGCCATGGTCCCCATCCCCTCGCTACCAGCCGTCTTCTGTAATGTGATGCTCCTGAGCGACAAACTGACAGTCGGGTGCCATCGTCATGGAGAGGCAAAAGCCCTCTGGGGCGCAGTACAAAAACAAAGAAAACAAGAGGAGGAGAAACGTGAACGAGACTGAGGTAATGATGTGATGTGATGAACACTTCATTTAAAATGGTAGAAACACAACGTAAGTTACAGTTACTGAAGCACTTGCAAGCTAACGTCAGCTCATTAGCCGCTAATGATTAGCGGTTAGGCTACTACTATGTAACGTCAATGTTACTGCGACTTCATTAGCCACTTGTTTTAGGAATACTTTAAGCATTCAGCGAGAGTTAATGTCAGTTAATGTTGCTCCCATCTTAGAGAAAGTTGGAAAGAAAGACTCAAAGTGTTTGATGGAATGAATAAGCAACATAATTGAATATATTGGCCTATCTTTTCTTTTAATGTTTAATGTGCTGCTGCACAAACCACTCACTGTTTACCAACCAGGCATATATTCATATACTGTATATTTATGTTTTCCAATTTTCAGATTTGTGCAATTTGTGATGTTACAGTTGCATTTTTTATATTTTGGCTGTTTGCTGTGTTTAAAATGTCATTAGATCAAGGCAGGCTGTAACGTTAGGTGCTATTATGGTTATTCCATGATGGTTTCACAATCAACAGCTATTTGATTAATATATTGTAAAAGCCCAGTTTGTCAAATATATGTATCTCCTTTTTTTAGATGCACTTCTGAAGTATTTGTCCCCCACCTCTGCAAATCCTGGACCTACTAATGTAACTGCAGCCACCTCATCCACCTCAGCACCAAGTGATGCAGCCTCAAGTGCATCTCCCTCCCACACACAAACTGCCAGTGGAGAAATAAGATTATTTAGAGAATGTAGACTGTTACGAGATTAACAAGTTTTAATTTATTTATTGTGAACTGTAAGTTAATATAACTTAAGTAATGTTCATGTTTATTGCAATGCAACATTTGTTTAATAATTAATAAAATCCAAACATTTTTTCAGAAAGTTTTTGAAATGTTTCTTCAGTAGTTTTTGAAAACCGAGGGTTGAACCGATCCGTGAGTCGGGGGGGGGGGGGGGGGGGGGGGGGGGGGGGACGCCAGCAAATATCTTGCCAAATTGGTCAGGCATGGCCCTGCTCCCTACAGACTTTCAAATCACTGTTATCATTGACATTTTTCAGCACTGTAAAGCATCTTTGATTGTCCTGAAAAGTGCTATAAAAATCTGATGCATTATTATTATTATTATTATAATTTTTTTTTTGTCAAAGCCACAAGGAGGCACTGGAGAGGGGCTAAAGTGCTACCATAAAAAAAAGCAAAAAAAACTTTGAAATAGAATAGAATCACATAGGGTAGTGGTATACCATTGGAGGCCTTGATCATAGTGACAAGGGTGTCCATGGAGACGCCACTGTGGCCTTTCGCAAGGACATTGACTCTCAGAACCAGTAGCATGCGTGGGACACCCACTCCTTCACACACATGTACACACACACACAATAGCTGTTGACTGATTGGTAACAGTACACTGATTTATAAATGTATAACTAGCTACTACTGTTTAATATTACATGTATTTTTTATGTGCTTTTCAGTCATTCATCGAAAGCCATGACAAGGGAAATGTTTCCCTTTAAGTGTATATTAAACAGGTCTTGTGTGATAACTTACCAGCACAATGAGAGTGGATGACATTGGCCTGCAGCTGCCTATGAGGAAAGCGCAGACTACGCCGGAATTCCACTGGATGCGTGTCCGTTGCGGAACGGCAGCGCTGGTTATCCGCTGCATGCTCCGCCGTCCGTCAACACCCATAGACGGTGGGCCGAACGCGTTTTTCGTGTTGTTGATCGATCTCCATCGATAGAGTACACAGTTTTTTGTGTGTGATATTAAACAATTCTATGGAGTCCGGGAAAATTTGTTGGCAGCTCTGGTTTGATCATATATTTTCACAAACTTGTATTTTAATTGTCACTCTGCTCAGGCAACTTGCGGGATAACTCTAGCTGATGAACCAATCAGATTGTAGTTTAGAGAATATCAACCAATGGCAGACGGCCTTAGGACCCGAAAATGTAAACAGGGAAAACTAACAGCTCCGTCTTTTTTTGACTTATTATTGTGTCCAAATGAACAATTTAATGTAAATATATAGTATATAATCACCATCATCATTAATATATGTATGTAACATGATTGTATAATCTTAGGGTCTACACAAATCCCTTTGCAGGTGCTAAAAATGGCCAGTGTTGTGATTTATTTTTC